GGAGTACTGTGTCCAGTTCTGAGCTCCTCAGCTCAAGAGGGACAAGGAACTACTGGAGACAGCCCAGCGGAGAGCTACGAAGACGATTAGGGGACTGGAGCATCTTTGTTATGACCGAAGGCTGAGAGACCTGGGGCTCTTTAGCCTGGAGAAGAGAAGACTGAAAGTGGATCTTATCAACATTTGATCTAAAGGGTGAGTGTCAAGAGGATGGGGCCAGGCTCTTCTCAGTGGTGCCCAGTGACAGGACAAGGGACAACAGGCACAAACTGGAGCACAGGAAGTTCTGCCTCAACATGAGGAAAAACTTCTTTACATTGAGAGTGACAGAGCACTGGGACAGGCTGCCCAGGGAGGCTGTGGACTCTCCTTCCCTGGAGGTATTCAAAACCTGTCTGGACGCAGTTCTGTGTGACCTGCTGTAGGTGAACCTGCTTTGACAGGGGAGCTGGACTAGATGATCTCCACAAGTCCCTTCCAACCCTGACCAGTCTGTGATTCTGTAATGTATCTAAACAACCACAAAAATAGATGTGTTGGTTATGGTGTCAGTGAAGGACATATTACTTATTAAAGAAAACCAGGATTTCTATAAGAAATAATAAGTAAATAGGGCAATGAACTAGCTAACGGAAAAAATGGAGAAGACCTGCATTTGAGAATACTTCAATAGAGAATTTGATGTAACACTTTGGAAAGAGGTTACCAGTGGAGTTCCACAGGGAGAAACTTGGGAATTAGTCTTACTCAGTACCTTTGAAAAGACCTTAGCACAAGAAGTAGGCCATATACTAATGTGACTTACTGCTGACAGATTCCTAGAAGATAAAAATTGATATTGAGAAGAATCACTTCTCATACAATAATCTAGCAATAAAACCAGGGTTAGTTAAGTAATATATATATATATTTTGGATTACTTCTTCAAAGTTATTTAGGTATCAACTTCTACTGATTTACAAGTCCAACACCAGGATTTAGTTTCAGATCAAGACATCTAGGTTTTGACTCCCACATATAGTAGGCATCTAGGGTCTCACAATGTTAAGTGGAGACCATAATCAGAGCAGAGCGCTACTCAACTGAACAGCTCCTCTATGTCTGCTTTAGGGTGAGAAGAGCAGGTCCCTTGGTTTCATTGACTATACTATCAAAGAGGCACCTGCTGTATTTTGAGATATCGTAGGATATCCAGGACGTACATATGGATTTGGTAGAGTCAAGAGTGGATACCCACACCCTTCTGGAGCAACAGCTGAAAGCTGGGCATAAAACCCAAGGCCTACATCCTCATCTTCCACGTGGTTGAAATGGAAATTTAGATACACAGCACATCTAAATTTAGCTCCCTAAGCATACGCTTAGTGTCAATCTCCAACTGAATCTCACCCTTAAACCAGGATCATGACCCATAAAAATGTCTGCACTAATGAAAGGGTGCATCATCTGCAATAGCTGAGCAACAGAGTGAGTGTTTTAGTCAGCAACAGAATGACCATCAGCCACCAATACAATGCAGCCATAAAAATACCCTGTAATCCTAGCAAAAATGTATGTCATAAAGTAAGTTCCAGCTAATTACAGACCAGTAACAACAGCAGCAATCCAAGACACATGAGACCGTATCATACAGCAGCAATATCATAAACAGTAACACACATAAAGTGAAAATTCAATTCAAACAAGAGCAGATCTACACACGTACCCAATCCCCCACCAAGACCTTCTAGCAGAAGTGACAATGTTACCACAAATGAATAAATTCAGATTAGAAAGCAGGAGAGTACTTATACCCACAAAGATATTCAAGTTGCAATGGCCTGCAGTACACAGATTAGACCATATGATTGATAATCTTCTCAGAACTTGTACTGTAGGTTAGGCGATTACTTACTGTGAAAATTAAGTCAGTAGGAACACTATTGGTGACTAAAATGAAAGTTTCTGCATGACGAGATGTTGTGTACTCTATGCCTCAAAGGGATCAAAACCTTGCAGCGAGCAGAGAAAACAATCTTTTCCTAAATGCTTCATTTGTTTTTAAAAGGTCCTTTGTTCACTTTGGTAAAAACACTGTTGCAGATCACTGAAATCAGCCTCCACAGCAGCAATGCATGGAGAAATCCTCTCTACATGTAACATGGAGGTCATGCAAGAGAATTATTTTTTTAAAAAATATTTTTGTCTTACTCATTTTATGTATCTTCTATCAGGACATTAAAGAACTTAATGGTGTTGAAGCAAAACCTCAATGCTAGAAGACACTGGAATTAAGGTTGCTCACACAATCTTAACTCAGTTACCCCATGCACATGCATTATGAGGATCCATGGTCAACTACTATTCTTGCCTTAACAATTATGGTCTTAAGTAGTATCTACAAAACGATTTTGTGCAAAAAAAGGTCACAAAACTGAAAAATTTATCTGATTTAGAAAGACAGTGGTTTAGCTCCAGCCCTTTGCCATAAGAGCTACGTCAACAGCCACAAAAACACTTTAAATGCAATGGCTATAAACTACTTATATTGCAAGCACTCAAACTTCAGCCATGTACTAAACTTTCAAAGTAAGAAGTTTACACAATTGCAGAAGTAGCAGTAGATGTGAAATCTCCAAATTTTTCACTAAAATGTGCGTATTTTTTACAATTACATACCCATAGACTGGCTAGCAGCTGTGAATTCACCCTGTATACCATTTTCATCTGGAGTCCTATGGTCTAGTTTATGGCATGCTGATTCCACAGTGTTAGGTTCTTCCACATCACTGTCTATTTGATTTAGTTTTTTGAAAGCAGTTTTTCCCCTAGAAGGACTTCTTCTACAACATGAAGATTCACTGTCCTCTGTTTCAGCATTTGGGTCAATTAAAGCTGTATTATATTTTTTGGTCAATGTCTTCTTTACTGTGGACTTGGAAGGCGAGTTTTGTGCATCTAACTCATTTGGCAAAGGAGAAGGTGTGTTGCTCTCTCCATCTGAAGAGGAAGATTTTAGCTGTGTTGTAGCATTTTCATGATAGTGGGGATTTGGTTCATATTTGGGTTTTTCTAAACCAGGAAAACAGATGACAGCCAAAAACCAGTGGGCACTGCAAAGGAAAAAATACATTAAAAACTAGTAATTACATTAATGCTCACAGTTAAACCTGAAGCTGGCAAAAAACAAACAAAACACTGAGTGTACATGCACACACACACAAAAAACCAAATTCTGTCCCCCCGTTATCTAACATAGACTGTAATAGCTGTTCACTCTTCTGAGTAGGTTTTACTCAAGACTTCATGGTCTTCTCTAAAGGCAAGATCACTCCATGCAAGTAGTCACCAACAAATTCATTAATATGATGCAGTTAGCTGAAAACAGGTGCTGCCTGAATATTTATGTCAATTTGCTCATACTTTATACGTTCTTTTCCTTCTTTGAATTAAAGCTTATTCCTTTGTTAACATATTATTTACCACTGCATGAATTAGAGATTGTAGAATTCATGTTTTATGGCTGTATAAAGTTTTCTAGTATTTCAGCACTAGCAACACAAGTAGTCAGATCTAATGGTATAGCTCAATTGCCCGTATTCTTCCACCTATGAGATCTTCCAGTTGTATATGACACTTCACAATTTAAAGAAATCTTGTCAACAATGAATTAAAGTAGGAAACAAAAGAGAATGTTTGTAATACCATCACGACTCTGTTGTACTCCTCACCCTTCACAGAACTGACATTCTAACCCTTACAGCATCAAAAATAGTTATAACCCCCAAAATAAAATAAGATAGGAGATTAAGTTTTGCCCCAGTTTCTTCCTTATCTCCTTGCCTCTTTGGACTTCACTGACCTGCCACTCAATCAGAAATGGAGCAGCAGCAAATTCAAGGATTGAGGCACTGCAAATAAATATCGACTGACCTGACTTAGAGATTTTCTGAAGGTTCTCCAATTCCCTACAGCAAATAACAGAATAGAACCTAGCTATGTATTATGCAAGGGAAGCCACATTTCAGTGTGTTTTAGAAAAAATAAAAAGCAGTAGCTAAAAATGCATGCCTAACTCAGATATTGAAAAATTAATTAGATTATTATGAAGCCTAAATTAAATTGAAACCAAATGGCAGTTACAGTAAGTGGCCTTTGAAAGCAGTAAGTGAAGTATGGAGGCATTTTGTCTTGAATGATTCACCACACTTAGTAAATGAATATGTTAAGTGTTGCCAAACCCTGGAATTTGCGTGTGCTCTATTAATATAGTCTTTATGTACCAATTATGTAAATAGACTAGCAAATTAACCTGGATCTAAAAAGAAAACAGCTCACAACTTTTAAAAGAACAACCTATTTCCATTGGGGCTTGCACAAAAAGGACTGTACTGCCAAATGCCACTGATGCAGGCATGGTTAAATCAGCCATATTATTCCGACGTTAATTCTCCCCTAGATTCATCCTGCCCACCTCCAGTTACAGCAGTTTCACAACTTGTTAGACGATGAGCCCACATTCCCTAAACTAGTGGTTATGGAAGAGTCTGGTAAGACTTTCTGGAAGCAGATAGTGAAGTCCAGCAACTCCAAAGCAATCATTTCTAGAAAGTACTCTTAAACCAGATGGCAGAATAAATAGCTGTGTCCTAAAAGAAAAAAAAGCATCATTCTAGGCAGCACAGGAGAAGTGTTATCAGGAGTATCCATTAGCAGCATTCCTGTAATGTGAGAGAAGCTCTCAAGGTTTCTCAAATCCTAGAGTAACTTGTTTCACATACCATTTAATTCAAGACACAAAGAAGCAAAAGAAACTCTGAGATTGGTTCTCAACCAGACTAATTTTGCCACAGATTAAGGTCTGAGACCTTTTATAAATAGTTATGAATGCAGATTGTTCACTGGAACGAAAGAAACTCTTACATAGCTTTGATCTGCTATTGCACAGAGAAAGTTCTGTTTACAAGGACTAATTTCCAGCCAAACCAAGTGGAAAATTCCTGAAAAATATCTGCAGTGCTGCAACATGTCAGGTTGCAAACACTGGGAGAGTCTAGACAGCTCAAGGCTGTATGGGAGTTCTATGATCATAATCTATGAGGACAAGGAACAAAACGATGGAAGAGAAGTAGGTGGTAAAAGCCTTACTGCTCTGCTTTAGGCTGCACATACAGGTGTCCAGGCAAAGACATGTTGAAAAAATTCTGAAAACCAGGTTCTCCAAAACCCACACAGAATGGCATGTACTTTGTTCTCTATATACCACAGGCATTAACTGGCTCTCCCTCCTCACCACTGCTGCTCTGCTGCTAGTGTTTTCACTGATCCCTTGAAGTTATGACACAACGCCCCGATTACAAAAAAGAAAACCCTAGACAGATAAACACCAAGTAGTTGGAGGTTATATTCTACTGAACATACAGCATCTAAACATCTCCATTCTGGTCAAAGCGCGACAGTCCTCATTTTGCAAGTAAGGAACAGGAGCATGGATGAATTTGGGGAGATTACATAATGCAAAAGAAGTCACACAAGGGGGTTTCTGAAAAAGCTGCAACTTAGTACAGATGCTGAGTCCCAGCCCACAGCCTTCATCGTAAGGCCTCCATATTCGAAAGACTGCAGATTAAGAAGCCAACTGATACACAAATCAACACCACAAGTATCTAAAAACGTTGTATTTGGCACAAAAGCAAGGTTTCACAGTCCTGTTAACAGAATGCTACCTGAGGCTCTAACCTAAACATGATCTATACTGTATTTGCTAACCAGATCAGAAATCCTTCAGGTTAGTATTTTGCCATTAAGAAACAAAAACCAGCACTGATACTTATTGCCTCTTTTGTCAGCAGTATGTTTAGTTCTAAAAAGAAAACTTCCTGGTTCTACATCTGTATATTCTTGAAGCAGTACCGTACTGAAGTTAATGAAAATGAAACAGGATTTACGTGTCAATTCAACATAAAGAGGTACGTATCAAAGAGAGATACTTGAAATAAAGTAACCAGCAAAACCTCGAAACATTTTTTGACTGAAAAAGTTAAAACAACTCTAGTTCCCTGCTCGTGACCCATTTTGAAACACAAGAATATATGGAAAAAAAGCAGCCAAATACTCAGTAACCTGGTAAAACCTGCTATTTTTCTGTGCCATCACTTAGCAAGTGACAGCTAGACAGAGGCCTAGAAGCCTTCATACTTGCCAGGTTTTGTGTTCTTCCCTAGGTAGCTCCCCAGCCTCCTCTCTGTCCTGCAATACCAATTACTCGCCATAATGACTATAGTTCATTGTCAAGTCACTGACTCCTTCCTAAATGTTAGACTCTCCCCCTAAAAAGTTTGGGTTTTTGTTCCTCAAAACTGAATGCTGGCTTTTGAGGGATGGGGGGAGTGACATGTTTGAGGGGAGACAGCATAGCAAGGTGTATCCAAGAAAAATACTGGCAGCTAATAACAATAAATAAATAAATAAAAAGAAGATCTAATTTATGCTTTCTTTGCCAGAAAGCAGGTCAAAAACAACAATAAGACCCAAACCCGCTCCCCCTGCTAAATCACTACTTTCTCCTTGCCCTGGATACTTGGGTTTTTTTCTGCTCTCCGATGTTCTTACTGTACGTATCAGGAAACCACATTTGCAAATTGATGTCCTACTATCACCACTTATCAAGCTTCAGTCCACAGTGAAGGACAGTTCCACAAGTGTGAGCAGCATCATTTCCAGATGAACGATGCACACAAAGAGTACATTTTTCATGCTTTAATCACTACTGGATGAGTGCATGAAACCAAGGCTAGTCCAAAGCATAATCCCCAACCCACACATGGTGTGAACATCATGTCTTCAGTACGAACTGTTTTGCTCTGCAAATTCACTCCGACTGAGCTGTAATACTCGCTAAGGTAGACGTTGCTTTAGTTGCTTAACAGTAAATGAACAAGACAGTGAAAACTATGTGCTAAGTTATTAGCAATATAACTAGTTCATATAACTTTCTTTTCATTTTCAAGTGACCTTAAGTCACATTGTCTGGTATTTGCAGCATGATCAGTCTCATTTCTCCATGCAAAACCAATGTGGATGTGTGAATGACACCACAGAGGATGGTGGGAAGTAAGCTGTATAACAAGCTCTAAGGCAACTAAAATTTAAGCAACAGACACGTCAACGTTCTGGCACTTAAAGATTTCGGGGAGAGGGATGGCAAGGACGAAGTCTGCAGTGGACAGCAGGAGTATCTCATATGTGTCATTTTCATCACCTATGGACTGTCTGTCTTGCCATGGCTGTGCAGAGGTCACAGCACCTCAAATTCTGAAGTCACTGCTTGTGAATAGCTTTCTCAGGGATTTATTCATGACTTTGTAACAAAGACAGATCTATAGTCAGTTACCTCCCGCATAACTGCCCCTCTACAGCAAGCCTCAAAATTCAGCTGGGGAAGAGGTGGGTAAAGAGAAGATTCAGAAATTCTCCTCCCACTGCACAACGGCACAGGATCTAGATAAATTTATTTTCAGAGCTTTTAATTAAAAAAGAACCCCCATTCTTTGAATTTTCAAAGATAAGTTAGGTTTGCCTATGATAAGTCAGTTACAATTTCCCTGTCTCTCTGTCCTTGCTTTATTTATGCTTTTACTGTGTATTTTTAAGGTGTAGTAGTTTAACTTTCCTAAATAGTTTGGCTTAAGAAATGTTTATTTCTTTTTGTGAAATGTAGAAATGTGTTTGTGACAACTTGCTTGCTTTCCTTAAGATCAGAGCATCATCAAAAGTCCTTAACAGCCATTAGAATGCTAACAGTCTGCTTCCTGACCCATGAAAAATAGCAGGACAAAAGGATGCACAGAAAAAGAATAAAGCTCCCAATACAGGGCAGTAGAGATTTTCAGTTGCATTTTCTTGCAATATGGGTTTATTGTAACTAAAGGATGTTCTCATCTATACCAAAGAGAACTCATTAGAAGAAAAAGGCGTAAGAAAGGTAAATCCAAAAGTTATCAATGGCAACAGCTTACAAGGAAGAACTCCAGAGAACCAGGTAAAAACCTAAGAAAAGTACCCAGAAAACTTCATTTTTGCTGTCTTTCTATTGTCCAATACTTCTTATACTACAACAGTGCACTTCAAGATCTCACATTACTATTTTGTTTCTATCGCCTGGAAAAAGATATTTATTCTCTTTAATTTTTAACTTCAATTCACACTATAATATAAATATAACTTTCAATTTTAGAATTACGAAGTTTAAGCTTTTGCCATGTAAATGTGATTAAAAAGTATATTTACTTACGCTTCATTAAGGGGAACAAAAATGAAATCTTTCTCAAAAATGTCAACATGCCGTGTCCATGTTTTTACACGCCCATGTCGTCTTTGTTGTATTCTGCAAGAAGAAACCAACACATGGTTTGTCGGGTGGCTTACTTTAACCGAAAGACTGCTTTTTCAAGTATTTTCACCTTGACAGCTTCTTAAAGTTTTCAAGGCATACTCTATGTTTGTTACAGGTCTGGATGCTTCCTAGAGTTCTATTGGTATCATAATATTGTCTGTATGGATTTTATCTCTGTAAAGCATCTGTTCTTGTAGTCTTTAGGGTACTTAGCTCTTAGTAAAATGGACTTATCAACAGACTTACGAAAGGTTTGAAGTTTCATGAATATTTCTTCTCTCTCTTTGATTAAGGCGTTTATAGAAGAATGAACTGAACACATGTATCCTATCAGCATCTTCTTTTTTCAGTTTTTCAAGTACCAAATACCTAATTAGTTAAAAAAAAAAAAAAAGAAAAAAATTCATGGAGGTGTTAACTCAAAGTATTCATCACTGGAGTAAAAAGGACTGCCAACAGTGCTACCTCCCCACCAAACTGTTGCATCCTCCCGCAAAATAGCTAGAAGAACATTAGTGCTAACTAACCACAGAAACTCGTTAATGCAGTACCTGTGTCAATATTTCAAGGTATTAAGTACTCTGCTCAATCAACAAGTTGTTCTGTTGCTCTTGTATCTCTATCATGGTAGGAAATAAAATTTTCAATGAGTTTGTTACATACAACCTACCTAGCTAAGACCCATATTTTGTAACTGAGTCACTAAATCTCCAAACGCTCCCAGAGCGATGCACTAATTTTCTTTCCACCTCTAAAATAAAATTTTAAGACTAAAAATTATACACATGCACCTTACGTGTAGCATAAACACCGCAGCATATAAAAATGTACTATGTTCCTAACATCTGTATCATGAGCGACACTAAAAAAATTAATTTATGTATTATGTTAATCAAAACTAATTAAATTCCAGGAAACACAAATACTCTGGAAAAATCAATTTAACTTAAAATATTATTTTTTCCTTGCAGTTCAAATTCCTCTTCAGATGCTAAGAAATTTTAAAGAACCTTTTTTCCAAGTGAGAAAAATGTCACTGTCAAGTCAGATAGGAGAGAAACCAAAATTCCTTGCAAAAACTACAAAACACCTTTTAAAACTGGAGCTATGCATAGTTGGAGACCAAGTGCTATCAATTGACCTATAAATTTTCAATGTCAGAACTTTTAAAATTTCAAAGTAAAATGTGACTAAAAACTGATGTGAAAGAAAACTTACTTTAAATAAAAATCAATAATAACATCATTTAAAAATTCTCCTTCATTCAGACAATGGAGGTCTTCGTTGGTCACAGAAATACCACCTTTAGCTGGAGGAGGTGGATAAACTATCAACCTGAAAAGAAAAATACATTCAATAATAAATATGAAATGCCAAAAAACCTCAGAAGATTGTTACAGGGCAAAGATAAATATCTTACTTTTCTATAGGACCAATAAATACTGTATGTGGTTCTCCAATTTCTTCATCATCATCAAAATATGGTAACTGTTTATTTCGCTGCGGCATTTTGGACTCAGAAGCAACCTTGCAAAAATAAAGTCAGTATTAATTTGTATACTGTGCTCAAATTTGCCAAAAAGATAAAAAAAGCTTTATAAAGTGCAGTGGTGTAACATCCACTGCTTTTGAGAAAGGCTTCCAGTCAGTTTTTTACCTTTCCTAGTTCATTTATTACACTTAGGTCCACACTTATTTCTTGCAGGGCCACAAAACTCTCAAATTTTTTAAGAAGTAGTTTTGTTTAAAGAAGGCATTGATTAAATTTAACTACAACACTGCAACTTAATTTCTGGTTTGAAATACTATAACTTTTACCAGCAGATTAATTTGGAAACTATTATATCGTCTAATTAAAGTACAAATTTCTTGTCTCTGAATAGTTTTCACATGACAGCATTATTCGTGGACCATTGTACAACCTTACAATCAAACTAAACATGCTAAAATGTATTGTGAATGCACAGACTATTTCCCTTAGTCTCATAACCCACCATGGCCCAGTCTGGGAATCCCCATATAAAAGCCAGCAGCAGTGGTTTGGATTATTTTTGTTTGTTTGTTTAGGGATTAGCACACTATCTTCAGAGTATTTGCAACCCAAATAATATGACGACTTTGTTGTAAAACAAAAATATAATTACATTTTTTATTTTGTTTTCTCTGTGAGATGGACTTCCTTTGGAATTGTCTTCCAAGCACTTAGTAAATGCAACAAGCCGGCCATTTGCTTCTTCAAAGGAAATTTTCACAAAGAAGTCAGAAATATTATTTCTAATACCAATATCAGTAATTATTTTTTCAAATATTGAGTTTGCATGAGGATCAAGACCAGTTTCAAAAATCAAAATGATGTACTGTTCTTCTTGACCTACGAAAAAGCAGAGAGAAAATTATTCATTTAGAAACAAAATAAAATGTCACAATTACAAACAGATTTCAAAGAATCGCTGCAGGCCAACATGTGTACACACTGCTGACAGTACGTGCAAGCAGTAATACACATGTATGCAGACAGACTGAAGGATTAACAACCAAACACTTCTACCTACATCTGCAAAAAGAGTGCATTCAACTTCTGCCTTAATCTAGAGATGTTAATTATTACACCTGATAAATTTTGAGAAGACACTGAATGCAAAGCCAAAACATGTTCTGAAATAACAGCTTCTCTGATTGCTGACAGTAAGACTGTAATTGATACTTCCTCTTCTTATTATTACAGTTCCTATTCTATTGTTTCAATGCAATTGCAGAAATTATGTATTCAGCATAATTTCCTCTCTATATAGGGAAACAACCTATATAGACCTAATTTCTCCCAGGTCAACACTAAAAAGTCTAGAGCAGCTCTCTCAAAAACCAATGAAGATACAGGAATCTGTGGAAATTTAACAGAAAAAGAGAACTGTATTAAGAACGTAGATGAACTTTTCTTCCCAATGTAAATTGCTTTCATCTACTTAACCCCTTCAACATCTACACAGGATTTTATTTTCAAAGTTTTCACCCTGGTTTTCTCCTACTTTCAAACAGATGTGATTGCAAAAGGGGAAGGAAGGAAAAAAAAAAAAAAAAAGAGAGAGCACTAAGACAACACATACTAAATTAAACATATACTAAATTAAACAAGCAACAGTATATGAGACTCCATGATGCAGGTAGATTCATGGTCTGTCCTGATCCTAGAAGGCTACGCTATAAAATATTCTTGCTTTTTGAAAATTTTACATATTAAAGTCATTACAGCATATAAGCCTGAGGTCCCCAGCCTCACAGTCCATAAAAATCACTTTTACATGGATATACAGCACTGATATCTACACGTCAGCTGTTTCAGACAATAGAGATTCTCCAAAACAGTGACAGGCTGGAAAAAAAAAAAAATCATACTTTAACTTGGGGTAGCTAACAAGTAGGATGCAAAACTTGAACCACTGCTTAGAAACTAAACTGAACAGAATACTGAGGGGGACCAAAAGTACATTTTTGAGACGACTGTTTCCAGGCTTAAATGGGAAAATAAGCACGATGCTTTTTTAAAATGCAGATACAAACTGTATATCACATATTAGAAGCACAAAGTTCTAACAAAACTGCTTATACTGATTCTAGGCACATCTGTTGTTGGGCACATAAGTACAAAAACCTGTAATGGCAATTTCACAAAAGAAACAGTTATTTTTCTCTGGTCAGACTTCGGTTACCATAGAAACAGAAATCTCTTAAGGATCTCTGATCCACTGCAACCAGTTTTCATTTCTAAAAAGTGCATCTGAACAATGAAAGGAATCTAAAATGTCACAGTAATCAAAATTTTCATCTCCTTATGCAAGTAGACCACCCAGAAGAGCAAATCCCTGCTTTCAGGTCCTGTAATATAAACAAAACCAAACCACTCTGCCCCTGGTGAACATTCTGTGAACAGAATACCATCAGGTGCTCTCTCATGCTTACTCTTGCTAGTCTTAATAAACCTTCTATTTCTTTCGGTTCAGTGGCTTAGCTTCAACATGTCAGCCTACACTTTTACCAAAAGTTGGAGAATGTGAGTTGGGTCAACCAGCTACTGTATAAATAACACCTGCTCACATCATCTGAAAAATAAAAAAAGGCAGGAAGTTGTGCTATGAGGAATAATTTAGGCAGTCAGACACAGGAATAGCATTCAGGCTGCAAATCCCAATTTTACGTAGCTGGCTAACTCAGAGCTGCAGGGACTTGCTTTTCTGTAAGACACACTCACAACCATTTCCTTTTGGTTATTCTTAACCTGGCATGCTAACTGTTGTGAAAAGTAATTTTTCAGCAGCATGTTTCCCAATTCACCACACACAAATTTAGATGTCCACCTGGATTTTGGGTGCTCCTGTTTTGGGAAGTGGGCATCTACACACAATTGCTTATACAGCTATGGATTCAGGCTTAAAGTAATTTCATTGCTCACAAAGCAAAGAGCAACTGTGTTAACACAAAAGTACTCATAAGTATCAGGTACAGTAAAGCAGTTGGGTATATAACTAGCTCAGCGCCGCAGCCTGAGAGGGAAAAGCTGGGGGGAGAAAGGCTGAGAGATATGGAAAGGGATTTTTTATTACCCAGACAACTCAGGAAGTTTTTCCTTTTCTCACTTGTGAACACCTATGTTCACCTGGGGTCTAATGCCTACTCCCAGGACTGTCTCTAGCTCCCACACACACTCTCCAATTACTCCTGTAATTATAATATTCCTTACAGCCCATACTTTTTATAGGAGATGGATGAGATTATCAGAACAGTATTACACGTTGGAAGCACACACAGTTCTGAGATTGTTGAAAGGATTATTCCTCCATTTGAACACATCATGTTATCTATGAAGCTGAGTACAAGTATAAATAACCACAAAATTTAAACTAAAGAAAAGCCTATTTAAGGTGAAAAGGACTTCACGCTAATTTAAAAAAGTGTGCATATTAAGATGCTAGACCATTATGAAAACTATGTTGAAATTAGACTTAATTTTAAGATACATGAAAACAATCCACTTATTTTCCAAGCAGGTATTTGTCCACATCACAACGTCCCTATAAGCATATGGGAAAAAACCGTAAAGTGACCCACACAGCAGTTTCTACTGAAACTAAGGCCTGTAAGCAGAACAGCACAGAAAGCAGAAGTATACCAAAAGCTGTCGTATAAATGTAAAGGTCCATATACAAAAGCTAAACAATCCAACCTGCTTTCATTAAGTACAAATATTAGAGAACAAAAGTTATACTAAACTGACTAAATGTTGTAACTAGCATGTGTCTGGACAAACAGAAGACTACCGTTTTGCTGAGCTGTTCTGTACTCCTCATCAGCCTGGGAATGTGACAGTGTCTGGAAAAACACTACACCTGTCCCAGGCAGTGATGCCAGTTTCAGTCTTTAGTGCATTCAGTCATGATCAAAACCATTAAAACACAATTTAAAGTTAATAGTAGACTAAAATTTTTACTTACTGTCTCCTTTACATTCGTACCAGACATTATCTTTACTCATTTTCAGCTGGTCTCTCAGGCTGCTACAGGTTGATGGTACTGTTTGTAGGAAAACTACCGGTAATTTTCGGACACTACACCATTCACATTTGGTAAGTTCTGAAGTTTTCAGGTTAATCTCTCGAATATCGCTTTCTGATTCTAGGAGAAAATAATTACATTATACTAAATTATAGTAAAAATATGTAGGTTTCCTTTACAATTTCCCCCTTGATTTTAACAAGAGATCAGTATGTGCTCATTAACTTTTAAAAAAGTTTTTAAAAGTTTGAAATTAACGTATATCTAGGAAGTGACATCTGTTAATATCTTAAGAGGTCAAACTGAACTCCACTGTTACCTGTCAGGAAAGTAATCAGAAACAAACTGTTTTCTTCTCACTAACTTTAATCTAGTTTTTATTGCACAGAAAAACCACCGTTTCCAGTGACTTAAATTTGCAAGTATGGATATGACACATTTTACAACAAGCTTGTAAAACTTTCTTTGTAGATTTATCTTTGACCACGTTCCCTTATGAAAAATAACTTTAAAATGAAGAGGAGAATAAACACATGCAGAGAAATGACTTAACTGCCTAAGGAAAATAAGGTACTGCTTTCCATTTACTACCAAAGACAAATGCCAGGAATATGGTAAAGTCTTGACACTACTTCTGATGCCGCCAATGCCAACGTTGAGTATTTTACAGATTTTACTGAATTATAAAAATGGAAGGAAAATTGTGTGAAGTCAAAGTTCTTCAAATATGGTGAAAGGATCCAAAAGTTCAACGCCAGTAATTATTTCTAGATCAGAAAAACTGTTAATAGTAGTCACTTAAAGCTTTAGTTAGTGACAGCTTCCACACATGCTTGATGGCAGTCTCCATCACAAAACACTATATCCCCTTACATAGGAGACAAAACGTAGACAGGACAAAAGGAGAAATTATGCCAATAAAGTCCTTCTAATAAATAAAAATCAATACAACAAGTCTGTCTCTTCCTCCTTTCCCTGTAAAAGGGAGGAGACACTGCAGGGAATCCTGAAAAGAATAAGTCTTTTCTTAAGTCCCCTCCCCGCCCCCACCATCCTTCTCTTGGCATTTAGCAGTCAATGTTCAGCAGCCACCTTCTACATCCTCCCCTCTTGCTGGCAACTGAATTCACACCCCTGTGTCTGCCAGAAAAGGAGCCTGCTGCTTGTAAAGACAGGGCAAACAGTTACCCAAAGCAAAGTATCCACTGGCTGCAGACCGGACGCGGTGGCCACCACAGCTCCTGCAGAGCAAAGCAGCTCTCCTTTCCTTCTAAACCTCCAATACCCCTGTCCCACCAGCTGGGGAAGAAGCAGCCCACCTCCGAGTCAGGCTGCAGCAACAACATGCTTCCTTCAAACTGACCGGGCAGCATTTACTGCTCAGAACAGCAGTTTGCCATCTCATCAGGAAAAGAGCAGCAGAAATATGTTGCATGGATCTAACTCGTCCATCTCCTTGCACTGATTCTCCTTTATCTCTGTAGCAACTTACATGGGAGAAAATGAAGCTAGTAACTAACTAAAGATTTATAGATGACTCCTAGAGTCTTCTTTTTATTTAAAACAAACAACAAAATAGCTTTCCAAGGCTAGGCTGTAATATCTCAGCCTCTATAATAATACTTCAGTTTTCTCCTTCCTAAATGAAAAGGCTTTCCTTAATTCATTTTACCTAACTTCCCGCTTTCAGAGGCAAACCGTAGCAATGACAATCCCAACTTAAAACCCAATTCAACCCATTTAACTGAGGCATACAGGTCCTCCCAATGCAGTCCAGATGGAAGGTCCTTGACAATACATAAGCTAGCTGGTCTTTGGAGAAAACCCTGAATCCTTGTAACTGTTTGCACTGAGATGAAGCATACTGAATTTCATGTGCGAGGAAGACTGTCTACTCTTCAGATGAAAATTTAAATTATATTCATCCTTTTGTGTTAAGACAGGCATCTTATAATACATTTCACCTTAACCTGTGAACAGTATTTCCTGTAACACTGACATAAGACAGACAATAGGATTTATCCTTATAGTTTTTTATGTGTTCAAAATAGAAAGTTGTTTCCTTGAAACACCAGTTGAGAGTTGCACAAAACTGACAAGGGACATGGAGAGAATTTTGAGAAGCTGACATATATTTATACACGCAAAACCAAGTTCAAGGCCGAACAGTACTGCTGTTTCTACAGCTGTTTAAACCATTTGCCTTTCCCTGAAAAAGCATGACCATTGTAATCAATCTAAAGAACAAAAAAAAAGGTGTTACTTTTATTTCAAGACCCTTATTTGTATTAAAATCATGCAATGATTAGGAAGTTAACAGAAATGGAGGTAGCTGGGAATATACCCATCTTCCTCCAGATGCAAAATTCAAAAAAAAATTCAATGGAAAAGTGCTAAATGTTCCAAAATCCACAGCATTTAATGAGTCACCTTTTTTTAGGCTATTGAGGGAATCAAGCCCCATGGAAATAATTTCACCATGCAGCCGTTTTGACTAAAAATTGAAAGACCTTTTCGACACATTTTACTAAGCTTTTTAGTGTTTTTTTAAAACACATTTAATACATGAAAACTGGTAGTTTCTACGCATTCTGTATATTAGATGCAACAAAACTTGACTGAGCAAAGGCTATACTTATCTTTACAGGTTCTGAGACACCTTTTTGCATATAATAATGACAAAATACGATAGTTCTCTTTTACAAATAATAAAAGGCAAAATTCAATAGGACTGCATCTTCATGGAAACTTAAGATTAACAAAAGGAAGTAAAGCTACTTTTCAGGCCCAAAGCAAAACCCTACAAAAGAAAACAAAGGAAACACAGCAATAGTTGTAAGCTCACCACTTCCTAAACTATGTCACTGTATTTCTTTCAGTAACATGAAATATACAGCCTATATCCTAGAGAAGAAAAAACTTCAAAGGGAGATACAAACAGGAGAGGTCTAAGACACCTGTGTGGTTTTTGCTCTCTGCTTATGCACGTGAAATAAAAGACCTAATAAAGCACTAAAGAGGTAACATGTTTTACAGGAGGTTACTCTCGCCTTTTGGTTTTGTTTATCATTTTCAAGACAATCTTTGCCAACCATCACCAGAATATCTACAGTTCTTCAACTAGGACAAAGGGGGAGAACTAATGACCCAGTTGCACCCCCACCACCAACTGCTAATTCCCACTATCTGTGAATTTTCTTTCTGTCAGAAGGCGGCAGAAATAATGCAAAATAATTGGGTTTTGTTCACCAGACAGTTCAGGTCAAATTTATACTCTCGGGGTTTTTTTTCTTTTTTCTGACTACAGGCACCCAGTATAATTCATTACATACATACCAAAACCAGGACTGACATTTCATTATTATTCACTCGTTAATTCCTTTGACAAAGTTACTTCATGCAAAATACACATATTGAGTACTAACATAAACTGAAAGACATACTCACCTTCTAGACTTTCCAGGCGTATTTTGATATAATCCAGGCAAAACTGTGGAAGACAACACAATAATAAGAATTCACATCTTCTCCAAACAAAAACTGACCTAATGCCTTGTAACTGTTAGTAAACATCTTTCAATTGACTAAGTACTTAAGTAACGAAAATTTTAAAATAAAAATGTAAAATGTAATTTAAAAAAAAAAATGTGCATTTTAGCACAACTCAAGGAAGCAAGTATATTCTTTAGCATTCAGTGTCTCTTTCAGTCATACTGACTGTTGTAACTTAAGACCTCTCGTAATCTTTCAATTTCCAAAAAGGTATAAAATACTCTGAAAAATACCAGGAATTATAGGGAGAAAAAAAAAAAAATCTTCAAAAGATAATGTCACCCACCAGTATTTAAGCAAATCAAATAATAGGGTTTTTGCAGGGAGCTTGAAAGAACAAGTAACACCTCTCTGGTATTTATGTGGTTACTTACGCAAGAGGTATGCATTTTATCCGGCTTACTGCATACAACTAACATTCCATGTCTCCTTGAAAGTCTCCATGTAATTTAGACGGATAACAAAAAAATATTGTTCTACAGAAGCAAAATTATTCACCCGCAGACACGCTTCCTCCTCCCACCTATCAGTATCAATTTTTTGGTAATCGTTGCCTCCAGTTTCTCAACAAATGCATGCTAATCCATAAGCCCCTCCAGCCAAGTCAACAGCGTTTTCAAGGCTTTTGCAGGCACCATGTTTTTCTATTAAACACCAGAACTAGTCATATCTGTTAGTACGTAACAGTACTTTGGGATTCTTTGGGAATCAAAGCCTCTGAAATTAGAGACAAACTTACTGTTCCACAAAGGCAAAATATTATGTATGAAAAGTATGTCCATCAAAAGTATGAAAATAACAATGTCCGTCAAAAACTGAAAAGAGATTTGTCAAGTAACAAGCTTACTTACAATCACAGGTTCCACTACCATTCTTCGTAGTGTTCCTATTCGTATACTTCGACAGTTCAGAATGACACTTTCACAGGAATTTTGATAATTTAGAGGTACAGCCTCGGTTACAATCTCTTGAGAAATAACTTTTCGGCGTTTTATTGGAGTGTTAGACACAATGTTCCCAAACTGAAAAGTAATTTTCAAGGTTTCAGAATGTCTCACTAAGATTTATTGCTAAAACAAGCCTGTTACAAACTAGTGACTAAATTTTTGGCTACTTTTCTGTTAGCTAAAGGGACTACTTACTACAGCATCCACCTCAACCATATACACAAGGTAGAAATTTCTAAAAGGACTTTTCGGAACACCTGAAGATATTAATATTTCTAGATGGAAGAAAAAAAAAACATACGCTGACACTTGTAGACATTTTGTTAACACTTCCAAAACACAAATAATGCTTCTAAAATTGCCAAAACCGGTTTTAGTTTTTGTCATTTTGAAACACTGTTCAGCCTGGCAAAATGAGGTAATTTTTAATACATTTTATTTGTTTATTTATATAAAAACACTAACTCTGTAAAAGCAACACAGTATTGGTGGTTTCATTTTTTCTTTCAGTTTTTATTAGTCCAAGCTTTTGGTCACTGAAAACACTAAGTTTTACTGAAGTACAGTGCATCACCACATTAGCAGACATAGAATCTTCAAGAAATATAAATAAATAAGCCAAATCAAAATTCCTTAAAGCAACTCTACAGAACGGTTAAGATGCTTTTAGGATACACTGCAGGGTCAAAAGACTAAATACTGAAAGAAGGCCACGTGAAGCTTGGCTCCAGTTCAATAAAGTCTCTAGATGCTGACTGAAGTTCTAATGTCAATGAAGTCTCCTGTGTACCAACAGGACAACCTTAACAGAACCTATTAAAATGAAAGAAATCTGGCTGATAGCTGTCAGATTAATACATTTATTTGTTGTATTGCTACTATTGCTGTACTTTGTTGAAGGACTTTCTGTATGCTAGTCTTTTCTTTGGTATTTATATTGTTTCATAAAGCTGTCCATGAATAAAAATTATTTTGAGTTACAAAATACAATTAAACTCCCACAGAAAAACATTTTAAGGGATTCAATATTTCTATTAAGGCTAAATCTCAACAATTATTTTGAAGTCCCCAACCACTAGCCTATCTTGGCCATAATTCAAAATATACTTTTGGATGTTTCACCTAAATACAGTGGAGAAGTCAAAGACTGTAAATCCCTGCAATTAAAATACTTTCCTAGGACTCTTGTTGAAGACAGCTTTTCAGTTTTTCTGCTGGACTAGCTAAGTACTATCAAAAGCTTAAAACCCAATGAGACAAACAGTAAAACAGTAAGTAAACATTAAAGTGGTGCAATAGTCAAGTAGCATCTTCAGTAAAGAATTAATGTATATTTTAAGAGAAAAACAAATGAACAAAGCTTGTTAAAGCTTCTTCTACCATATCTGACAAAAACATTGTGATACCTGCAACTCTTGGTAGCTTCCTTGAGTCAATGCAGTTTGTGTTAAGTACCACCAAAGATATTTCTGTTTCCCGTGTTTTCAAAAGCAAGCTCTTTCCTACTTTTGTCTAAAATACGCAGTTAATTTCCAATGTTACAACTGGTTCTTAAAGACTAGTGAACAGGAACATAATGGATATACAAAGGAAAACATCTGTAACAGTTTCAGAAGTCTTAAGACACGAGTGCCTTCGCAATGCAATGCTTTCAGTTAATCCAGCACATAATGCCAGAATAACTGAAATTCAAAACTATTTATCATGCAAGCTTTTAGCCCACAGCTTTATCGTAGGCTAGAGGTTCACAGTTTTATACTGATAGTGGTGACTGATCATACACCACATTATAAACATCCATAATTTCATCCATTACAGCACTAGAATGTTGGCTTGTGAATCTCTACATAGCATGAAGGTTTTGGCATCATTACTTTAACCGTTCTAACTCAGAAAATACAAAGGATTTGAGACTGGAGGTGGAAAGCTGATCAGATACTCTTATTGAACCAAACTCACAATAGTGAAACCGGACAAGTGACCCAAGAATGGTTTTAATCAGCACTATTAATTCCACACCAATTGCCACATGGAATTTATTCTTCTTAATGGCTCACTATCGAGGTGATTAAGTTTTTAACACACCATGAAAGCTGTCCCCTTTGAAGCACTTGAGGAGTCTGCTCATAGTGCATTTTTGGTCATTGTTTATCCAATTCTTGCAGTGGTACTCAACTAAAAAATCAAAAGACCCACCATGCAACCTTTAAAATAAGTGCTACTGATTGGGACAGTTGTCACAGTATTTTACTGGGCCAATACTATTCCCAGTGTCTCTTTCCATGTGTGGCTTCATATGTTCAGAGTCTTACCAGACAACAGCTGGGACTGACATTCTTCTGCAAACTAAGCAAGCCTCTGAGTTTCATACAGATACGCTGCCCAGTCTCAAAGAGTAAACATTCAACGCAGAAGTCAAATCATTATGAATGCTTGTAAAAATATAATTAACATATTTTCTTATGTTTTCAGTATTATGTAAGCAGAGATACTATTCGATGAGCTGCTAAATAAGAAAAGCAATCAAATTTAGACAAATTCTGACAATGCAAAACAAGCCTTTACATTTTCCATTTATGATTTGATTTTTGTTTTCTTTAAACAAAGCATTAAATAGTACCTGATCTTTCATTCTTGCTTTTCTTGGTAGTGTGACTGCAATTTCTGTATCTGTTGTTATACTACCTATTCTCTGTTCTATTCCACAACTGTTTTCCTTTAATGCTGCTTCCACCTTTCCTGTAGAAGGAGCTGGGGAGGAGCGGGCTGAATCTGCAGGACGAGGTGAAATGCTTTCCATTCTCCTAGTGCTGCCACTATCCTCCTCCTCATCATCATCACTAGACAAAACAACTAAACAGAAAATATTAAATTCTCAACCGCTACATTCTTCTGTTAACAAATTTATTTTCAAGCAATAGCTTAAAAGTAATTTATGTAATTGTCCTGCAGTGCCAAAAAAAAGTCCACATTTATCATTATATTATGCTTTTATTAATGTTTATTTGGAATCTGCTCGCAGGCGCTCTCTCCCTCATTGTTTATTTCTCTCAACTAATTATACAAGAAAATGGGTATCGTTAATCCGCCTCTAGATACACAAGTGAAACCATACATTTCTTGGTTCAATCAAGAATGGACAGTGAATAATAAAATTTAAGAAAAACTGACATGAGAAATTACGACTGAAATTGTTCAGATCAGTAAGACGACATCGTCTAGTAAACTAAGCATGGAACTAGAAACATAATTTCCTAAATTCTAGTTCCTTCCTGCTTATGAACTGATTTCAGTTTATGCAGAGAAAGCACAAAAATTAACATTTTACAAGTCATAAAATTTAAATAAATGCATAGCTACAAAGAAAAGAGGGGAAAAATATAAAAGGAATCAAAGACTGCCTTTCCCTTTGGGAGAAAGAATAATGGAATTCTGCTATGAGTGGGGTTTTTTGTTAATTATAAAGTGTTAAGTCTTTAAAAAAAAAAAAACGAACCAATCAACCAACCAAAAGATTCATGAAATCATTTTTCTTGTCCCCAGTGTTCACCTTTCTTAGAGAGTACCTCAGTATATGAAAAGGCTATTATAAAAAAGTCCGTCCCTCTTCCCCAAGAACACATCCACAAAAAAATTCCATGTAAAATCAGTAATGGAAACTTGCAAGGACACTTCCTTCATTAGAGAATTATTTTGGGTTTCCCGTTTATGGCTATATTCATAAAAAGGTACTTACTTGGATCATTTAGTTCAGAAGGTCTTGTACTCCTCTGCCTTAAGCTTCCTGTAATTTTAGGATTTTTTGTCCCAGTTATAAGACCAACTTTTCCATTCTGTCGCAACATAGAATGTCCTACAACTTCATTATTCAGCAGAACATCCGTTGGACCTTTCCCAACAGCAGAACTATAAAACTTCTTTGTGTTGAACCCTGTACCTGAAGATTTTTGCCCTGCTGAATTCTGATGTATTGAAGAACGTGATAAAGGTCCCACAGATTCACTTAATGACACAGTTTGTCTGGAGACTCTTTGCAAATCCTTTAGAGAAGCACTTTCGCAATGTCGGCATTTGGTCTGATTTTCATTCGCCCGCCCACAATTTGGGCAATCAGTAGAATAATCAATTTGTTCCAAAAGCTAGAGGGGAAACACACAGACACAAAATCAGTAACTGTATAAGTACAAAAATACTATTTCCGTATCTTAATTTCTGTTCAGAATGAAGGTTGACATTATTACAGTAAGCAGAAAAAGCAAACATTAAAATACAGTTTATTTCATTTAAGAAAACGAAAAACATTCTAACAGGAACAAATTTATTTGTGGCAATTTTTAAAAAGTGATTAATGTTGGACAAGTCAGAATCTCCTTCTTGCCTTCTTTCTTTCCATATGTAAAAGGCTGCACACCATTCAGATATATCTATCTATCAGCAAGACGTTCCAGTTACATCGTTTCTGTAAAAATACTTTCATTGGACAAAAATAAAGTAACCTAAGGATTCACAGAGCAATGCTAAAGAGGACTAGAAGCAACCTCCCAGGTCATGAAGTTCATTTGTCCTCCCAAGATATCTTCTAACAGCCTGGCAAAGCATGCAGAAAAATCACTCAAAAAAAAAAAGGAAAAAAAAAATAGAGAAAGAAAAAGACAAGGAAATACATTGCTCTAGCGTCCAGTATCTCAGAAGAGAAAACAGGACTTGAAGAAAAGGAGTTCCCCAAACTTTCAAAAGGAAAAGGTAAAATGTATCCTATCACTGCAAAGACAGAGATGTGTGTTGTTTCTCTCACATGTACTAGGTCCCACTGAATTACGTATCACAAGTGCAGAACTCGGACGTCTAAATCTAAAGGATTCAATACTAACACATAAGCTACTAAATGTGTACCGAGTTGAATACGTGACGCCTCTAAACAGAAATTCAATGTATGTTATTGTCTCCTGGAGCATTGAGCTCAAACGACATAACCACTGTATCATGAACTACTGATGCTACTAAATACCTGCATTCCACCAAAAACTTTTTGAACCCATTTTCAAAACACAGCTATCACAATTTGCATCCCCCCACACCCCCAGCCATGAACGCCTTTCCAATGAAGAGGACATCCTCAGGTGTGGGATCTTTAATCATTTTTAAAAACAAAGGCAAAGACAAAAGTCATATAGACTATATTATTTTTACAGAGTTTCTGCAATTTAACAAAGCTACACATACAGTAGTGAAAAAAAATACCAAAAAAAACGTGTATAAAATGTATTGGACTGTTAAAACCTGAGTGGTGGGGTTAAGATAGCAAGTGACATGAAAACCAGCGCAGTGCCTCAGTGCTCAGTTAGAGGATGTAGTTCTTACAAAGCTAAATACATTGAAGAACTTCAACTAGGAATTAAAATATTCAACAGAAGCTACCCATCATTCCTGAAGGATCTTAAGTATAGAATAACTGCATCCCTCTACTTCAGCCACACACCAAAAACTTAAAACCAATTTCCCTTCCATGGTTTGAGAGCCTGCATTTTGATGGTAGGGGTAGCAGTGTTTAATTCAGAGGGGCATACTCTTTTTTAGACTCTCTTTTAAGATAAATGACGACTTAAGTAGATGAGTTCTACCTAAATGTGTTTGCCCTTTTAACTTGGATAATGTACCATTTTTTTTAAACTTTGAAATCAAAGTTTATACTTTGCAAAAACAAATTTGCAAAATACCAATAGTATATGCCCTATGCAAATACTCTGCCCTATCTCTAAAAGTTTCAGAAACCAAAACTTCTGTTATTTTTCAGGTTTTTTAATAAGCACATGTGAAGCTTTAAAAATTATGTACATTTTTAGCAATTAGAAAGTGCAGCCTGTTACAGTCTAGTAAGGTGAAAACCATTTGCACTTCACCTGACAAGCAGCTGTTTATGTCTGTAACTCCTCTGGCACAAAACCACAACCAACACTTCTGAATTGTTCAGAGGTTCCATAAACCTCTGATCGATCATCTGCACACTTTGGCAACTCATGGCTCATGAAAATGCATATCGTTCATAACAAATGCATAAATCATTGAAGCACTGTGTTAAATACCTTTACTGTAATAAAGGATAAAACTCTTAACCCATCTTAAAAAGAAAATAAAACCAAGAGTTGTGCTAGTGAACGCAGTTGCAGCAAGATCTGTTCTATATCCAGAGTGTATCCGCAAGCTACACAGCCTTACAGATTCTTACTATCCTATAGGATTGGAGTAAAGGTTCATCTAGCCCTGTGCCGTACTTTCAACAGTGGCCAGTGGTAGATGGCTGGGAGCACAGGGAACAGAGTGAAGACATATCCTCCTTACTTGGTGGAATTACCAATGTAGACATTTCCTGAATCAGCAGTTCCATTTAAATCAACCTGTTTAATGATGATGTAGCCTCACAATTTTTATCAATCCCTTTTTGACATCTCATCATACATCGCCTGAAAAATATGGGGTTATCACCTTTTTTAAGCTTACTGCTTGACAGTTTTACCATGGGCACTCAGCACTTACGTCTTAGAAAAAGGAACTGGTTTCCATTCATGACTGTTGGTGTTCTCAACTTTACTAATTCCTAAGATATACGTGGGAAAAAATACCAGATGCAATTACTAAATACTGTTTATAAGTGCGATCTGTCTGATGGCTTTGGAAATGAAATCATGCCCCTGGAACAAGGTAATTGAGTCTGCTGCTTTTTTATCGCGGAGACAGAGAACAGCTTGTTTCAGCAATGTGGTCAGCTACATGCAACCTGGCTCGAGGACACCAAGCTGCTGATGCTTCTACGTGCAGCTCCAGCCCTCACTTTCCACACGTATATAATGCAGGAGGTAGTTCTGGAAGTCAGTACGTGGTTTTGTAATGAGAGAGGAATATGCTGAAAGCACAGCTCACTTCTGCACGTACACAGAGTTTTCTAGTTAAGAGCTGGGAGTTACTGCAAATGGCCTACATAGATCACAATCCAGCCACAAATGATAGGGCTGCTCTCCTTCCTGTCATGCTAATTCACGTATTTGTAAGGAAGAAACTCTATGTATTAAAAGATGAGATTTGTTAGATCTTCAGACTGAAAACTGTTTTATAAAGGCAGTGACAAGATTCCATTTCTTTTCAAATTGTTTTCTTCAATGACCATTTCAATCTAGAAGACTGTTTTCAGTCTAGAAGACTGTTTTCTACCTGACAGGACATACGATAGGCTGCAATGAATATTTTACTTCTTTAAACAAACATAAACAAAGTTTTCAATGTAATGATTAAAATAAACCTCACAGAACTGTAATGTCTTTGTTTTAACTGCTTTTGTTATTTTATTACTTAGCTTCCATAGAACGTATCTACATAGACATATGAAGATCAAAAACTTGGCTCTTAAAATTTCCAAGTAACATCATATTAACTAGATATGTAAAGGAAATACATAAGAGTAGTACCAAGTGTTTCATCTACAGCAGCAAATGCAAGCTGGTTATACGTAACAATCACAGATCTACTGGGTTTTCTTACTAAGATCTCACATTTTGCTTTGATAACCATACAGTGTGACCCATATGTGGGCACTATGAATCTTCCATAATAACCTGGGAAGATGGTAAGAAATACAGAGACCTTTACAGGAATTTCCAAAATATCTTATATCTGATATTCAGAGAAGTTCCAGACAAAACATCCTGGTTGACCACATCTAGACCAGAGAATGCCATTTGGATACCTGTGCTACTTCCACTGAGAAAGAGAGCAACTTCGTAAGAAATACCTGCATCTTTGCAGTACCCATATCTTTACTGAGCACAGAAAAACACGATACTAAAAAAAGAAAAATTCGGTTAAAGAGTAAAATATTGTTCCTCTATTTCATACGCAGCAAACCAAAACTATCAGCTACTAGTTTACCAATCAGCCTATCAATTTAAATACAGGTTCTATTGCTTTCCAGTGCAGCATCTGTTTGTTCAAATCAGAAAATAAATATTTCATCGCTAGTACCAATATTAACACTTAAATATCTCTATAACATTTTAAAAAATTTAATTATGTAAATCTTGTTGCCAACTCTAAGGATTTTAGATCGTTAACTTGTTTTACAACTGCATGTCTGTTTTTAAAATATGCATCAACGTTTAAAGTTAAACAGAAGTCTACATGTTTTTAAAGTCTAACCCACCTTTAACTGAGTTAAACATTTCTTTGTGGCAGAAGACAGAGTCAAGTCAGATTGATATGAATTGCACTGACGTTTCTGTTGAACCTTTCTCTTAATTTCAGATTCTGATTCTGATTCTGACTCTTCTGTGTTTTCCATTACACTGTCTAGGAGGGAAAAAAATGGAGAGACGTGAACAAGAAATGCCTACTCATATGCTGTTAGAATTATGATCAACTTATTTCTTCACATACACTAACTTCAACTAAACATAAAAACCTTTTTAAACATCCAACATGCTTCAAGTGTCACATGATTTGTTGTATGAATAAGAAAAAATTGCCCAAAGTAACTCTGAAAATGTTGTTTTATTAATACTATTGGTGTTTCTCAATGACAATTTGTAGCCTATTATCTTTGGAGGAGGCTTTGGACTTGAAAATCTATACTAAATTCACCACAACTAGAATGGAGCATCCAGTAACAAAAGTGGGAGGAGATCCACTAGATTATGCTGACGGTTATTTTCACGAAAGGACCAATGGTGAACGCATTTAGAATAAGTGGAAATGTTCTGTGTAGTTAGGATTTATTCCTTCAACACAAGACTCGGCAGTACAGTGAACTATACTGCCAAATCCGGTTTTATGTTGGGGCATTCATTTAAATACTGGAGTACGGGAACAAAGAAACCCATAAATTAACAATGTACAGAGTCAGATTTTCTTTTAAGGAGTGCAGTATGTTTTACAAACACACTAATTCAGTTTATTGTAAAACTGCTGTTTATACTCCCTAGTTTAATTGCAGTGTCCATATTGGAACTTTTTAAAGTCTGGTTTTTTTAAATAGATATGAATACTTTTTCAATATACATACTGATAGTCTCACAAACATCCTACTATTAGAAGACACCTCAAAACTAAAGAATGATTCATTTTCAAAAAAGAAACAGTAATAGGTGGGTTTTTCCTAAGTTAACTTACTTTTGTGTAGAACTGAGGAAGTTCTGCTTAACATTAACCTGAAAAAGCACAGCAGAACACCTGGCCAGCGCAGATGGCTAAGGAGCTGAACAGCAGCTTTACAGACCGTAGCTGTACCCCTACTGACAAAGCTCAACCAAAGACAGTGATTTTTCTTTTTCATTTCACAACTTCCACATCTCAAAGCAAACTATATTTTCTCTATTGCATCTCCATCCATCGTCCCTAACCAATTATATAAGAGCACTATTTCAGCTGAGGTACAGAGCAGTGCTGATACTGCCTCTTCTGTTCATGCGCTGAGGTAGTGAACAGACTTCATACCATGTGTTATTTACCACATTACATTTTGCACGAACTAACAGTGCTACAGAAGTTCCTCAACAAACTCAAGGACAAGCTGGGGGCTTGGGCTTGGACTAAATGATCTCCAGGGATCTGTTCCATCTCCAAGTATTTTATAATTCAAAATTTTCCCATTTTCAGTTGTTTTTGAAGTAACTGAAGCTTAATTTAAAATCATAACATGACTGAACAGGCTGCAGAGACCTGTTAAAAAGGGCAAAATCCACCCTTCACGCACAAACTTGTATAAATCCAGAATCATGTGATATAAGGATATAAATAGACAGACTAAATATTACACAAAGTTTGGCAACACACCTGCCCGAAGCAGGTATTAAAAAAATTATTCTGCTTACAAGAAAGGAGAACTCTAAACCTTAGAGTTTAACTTACCCACTCCTTGAGACCGTGGTAACCTAATGTGGTCTGCTTCTACTTTCTGAAGCTGAGGAGGGTATTCTTTTCTGTAAAATGAATTAGATACATGGTTGTTCTTTTGACCGACACCATTACAATTTAGCCACGATTATACACGAACAAAATAAATCTGAAATGTATCCAAAAGCCACAAATAAATAACCTCTCCTATTACATGCTATTTCTACATTCTAAAGAATATTACCAGAACACTAGGAACAGCTACAGTAAAGGTCTTAGAAGTGTTTCTGATCTCAAACCCCTTTAACATCAGTAGTTCAAGAGTCTCTCGGACTCAAGTCTTCAAAGACTGAAGTCTGCATCTCCTCCTCCTCATTTATGAAGTACAAGATAGACACTTTTAAAATCCCAAACCAGAAATAATTAGAAGAATCAGTATTTTAATATTAAAGTAGATTCCACAAGTTCCACAACTTAAAAAGCAGGAAGAGAAGATGCAAAACAGAGGAAGGAGATCTGATGTAAAAAATTGCTGTGGCCAAAAAATAAAAAGAACAACAGAGAAGACATAGTTCCTATTTATTTTTTTAATATAATAATATAGACAAATTAGTGTATAATAATATTTTGTTGGCATTATTTGCAGAATATACATACCACATTTTTTGATGCAAATTAATGCAATATAAAGCATTAGAGTAAGATTTTTCTGAGTCTCCTGAAAGATATTTTCAGTTTACAGAGAAGTGTGTCAAACCATGCTACTACTAAATTAAGATTCCTGAAGCTCACTGCGTCTCAGTTACTGTTTGTGCAGGTCTCTTTCTCTCAGCTGTCCTACCCTGCTCTGCAGCTGCAGATTATAGCTCCTGTTACAGCAGAAGATGGCACGCACCTGAAACACAGGAGGCCTCACCAACAGCTTCAGCAGAAACTGTTTTTATTGGCAAGTTAAGCCAGTGCACTGGGCTGCAAATGGGTCACACGCATCCCACACACTACCTCTAATTACATGGGCATTAATCAACAGCAAAGGGGCAAAGAAAACAGCTGCAGGCAGTAAGATCTCAAACCAACAGCTAAATTTTGAGGACCCACCCGACAAAAGTTTGGCTATGGCTGAAGTAGACTTCAGCACTAGGCATAACTTTTTATTTCTTTCAGCACAGCATTTCCTAACGCATCAAATGATAAAATCTTTGAGTTTTCTGCATTTCTAGCTAATATTTCTCAGGGTTTTGCCATATTTTATTATTAACTACCATCCTTGGAACAAGATTAATCTACAGTGCCTTTTGGGATACTTCTTACCTAAACACAAATACATTTTATTGTTTTGAGGGGCTGCAGTGTGAAGGAAAACTTGGGCAGAAAGAAGGACTGAGAAACCAGTGTGGATGGATTGCAACAGCATATAGAGATCTCGCAGTACCATGAGGGCCCATAAGCACACCACAGATTAAGTAGTTTATTTGTTACTGCTGTGTCAAATGTGTTCCTGAAGCAATCCTGCTTCCCCAAAAAGTTTTTTTTTTCATGCCTGCACACACAGAAACTGAATCAAAATCAGAAACTCAACACCAATATTTGTTCATAAATTGTGTAATTTTTTGGAACGTTTTCTTTGAAGATTCAAGTCACAAGGGATTACTTTAAAGGAAGAATCGGTTGAAATACAAGGCAGAGCTCAAACTAATCATTATACAATGTGAAACTGCTACTAGCAAAGCCAATGATAATGAAATTCTACAGGATAGAAAAAACCCTGTAATACCATTGTAAGAGATTCGAAAAATACAAACTTTGCAGTACGGATGCGTGAGCTGTTGTCTGACATAATTCTCTTTCTGTAGTATTTCATAACAGTAAGCCTTGTTCTGAACATAACTACTGTTAAAAAAGATTTCTGTAAAATGTTTTAAATATAAAAGATTTAATTGATATTTAAGAGAAACAATATTGAAATTATTTGACATTTAATTTAAAGCAATGAAAACAATATGGTAGATTTATAACACTAACATTTCATTTAAAAATTAGTTTGACAACTCAACGTCTCCGGACATTTTTAAGTTATGATTTTTCTCCTAAAAATTGTACACGTTTCTATTAAATTTTAAACATGCAACATATATTTATCTTTTTAAGATGACAAATTCATCACCATATACTGCTGAATAAGTTTTTAACAACAAATTGGAGTACAGTAGCATTATTTACCCTTGCCTGAATTGTGTGTTATCAGCATAGATTCATATTGGTACTTATTAAATGGCCAAACACTGGCAAGAATAGCACAAAACAAGGGCTAGCACAAAATGAGTATCTACCTTCTCTCATAACACAAGACTTACTCGTATGCTCACAATGAAACAGTAACACCCAAATCAAAGTTATGAAAAACAGCTCCTAGTCAAGTGAGGCTTCTGTGCAAAAGCCCTCCCGGGCCACGTTGTGACATCAGCCCCAGTCAAGACTGTGTTCTCATGCAGTGGGCTGGGACATTTTGCCTACTGGAGCAGTGAGCTGAGGCAATCTGGTATCTTCTCGTCCCCAGTGCAAGTACAGCGAGTTGGGACCATTAGGCAATCCCTAACCACACCCGAAACTCCTGTTGCCTGGGAAACGCACCCAAAATTCCTCCTGCCTGGATCTTAGCCCACTCTGAAGGGTGCCAAGATTGCCTGACAAGAATAATGGCCACAATGGAAAAATACTGACCGAAGTCAATCATCTTGCGACCCTATAAATACTGATCCTAAGTGAGGCCCTTTGAGCTCTCCAGAACCGCAGTAGGCTGTGGCCTGGTATCCCCCCCTGCCCCCAAGCTGGGACGCCTCTCTGGGTAGCTTTTCCAGAGGTACCGACAATCATCCACTGGCAAGTGCCAGAGAAAAGTGAGTAATTCACTATAATTTACTGCAGGCACGGTAGGAGAATAATTTACTGCAAGTGCAGTAGGAGAATATTTTGGTAATAATTTACTGCAAGCACAGTAGGAGAAAAGTCTTGGCCATAGGTTAACCTCTGTATCTGTGTGTGTGCACTTGTGTCTGTGTACAACTGAACCTTTATATCTGTGTGCACACGTGCATCTGTGTATGACAATCTCAGTATCTATCTCTGTGTGCATGTATTCGTGCATACCCTTTTTTTTATTTTGATTTAAGAAGCTCTATCATATCTCTCACGTGAATCTTGCCATTCTCAAATCTTTAACCAAGTTGCTATGTTGATTATAGCAAATTTTATTAAATCATTCTGATAACCAGCTGATGATTATTGCTAAAAATCATATAACCTAATCTTGTGATTTACCGTACTAGTGTTAATAAATCTTAAATGGCTGCTATCTCAAAGTTGTGTAGGATCCATAATCAGTTACCTGCTGACAAATTGCTGTAGGCTGTTGTATGTTTCTTCCACGTAGTAAGTGACAGAGCAAACCCTGCCATCAAACTTTAAGTTGCACTTTTACAAATTCACATTAAAATCACTTTGGCTGATAGCTTGAAGAATCACTGTCAAAGGTATCTAAAGTACTCATTGGCAACAAACTGGCATAGCCAGCAGGATCCTAAATCAGGACTCTACAACAAGTGATTTAATTGATTTAAAACACTCATTCGCAGCAGCTTTCCAACACAGTTTAACTTGGTTAGCAATTCAAGGTCAGGTTTGAAGTTGCTTTGAGTTAGAAATAAAATCAAAGAAAATCTTAATTGTAGATTTTCTTTCTGAAAAAAATGCTTTCTTGGAGACAATAAGGGCCCTCCCACACGATAGCAGCAACCTGAAGCGCCTCCTACTAGTTTCCTTTCCTGAAAAACCCACACACAAACAAAAAGGCCAAGCCCACCACCACAGGGTTTTTGCAGATGACAAAGCAAAGGCTTCCCCCTCAGCACAATGTTTGTTGCCATTTGAACAGCTGCAGATCCATTGATACCTTCTCCAGTAAAGTACTTACTACACAGTACGGTTTAATCGTGCATGAGTGCAGAAACAGAATGGAAGCTATAGTTTGGGTTTTTTAAATCAATCATGACACCCATCTTCCAAATAGTCTTTTTAAAAAAGAAAAAAATTCTCATAAGGAATTAAAAAACATATAGCACTGCAAAACAAATGCCTTTTTGCTGTCAAATCCTAACTTTAAACTAACAGTGTCACATTTCAAAAGGAATAAATGAGGGATCAGCTAAAAAGATCCAAGGTGCAAGACTATCTACACACTGAGCCTGACAGAAAAAAACAAGAAATACAATATTGATTGCTATTCCTACCATCCCAGCAAATATTAAAAATACACATTTTTTTTTGCCTATTAGGTTTCCTAAGAATATTTATGAGATTTAGACTTTGCTTGAAGAATAAAGCTCCATGCTCAGTGATTAAATCATTTTAGACACCTATCCTGGTTTGGCTGAGACAGAATCCCAGCCCAGCCATGCTAGGCAGGCCGTCAGCAGTTTGAGCCAGCCAGGGCAGCTGATCTGAGTCAGCCACAGGGGTAGCCCACACCATAATGTCATGGTCATTGTAAAGGGGGAAGGTTGGCTGAGGAAAGGAGCTCCTGTGGGGTTCCTCCTGCTCTGGCTTCTCCCTGTCCTGAGGACTGCTATCCTGTTTACTGTGACTGCTGCACATTCATCTGGCTGCTGAGTATAACTTTGTGTACTTTTGTTGGTATTGGTGCTGTTTCGTTAAATCTGTTTTCACCTCAACCTGTGGGTCTCCTCTCCTTGTCCTGATTCCCCTTCCTGGCTGGTGAGGGGTCATCAGGTGATAGAACAACTGCTATAGTTTAGCCCTGTATATGAGCTAAACATAGACAGCATCTCATTTATCTTGTCCATTATAAGCAGTTTTGCTTTTAATACCTTCAAGTACAAGGGAGGTAAACCAGTATTTGCTAAAAGCAACCTCAAAAAGTAGTACAGCATTGAACAGCAAAACATTAATTACAATACCAAGAACTTTCGACACATCTTAACAGCAAATGGTACAGCATTCTTGGCTAAACGTGTTTTGCCGAGACAGAAAGGTGTCACAGATTTAGTATCTTCAGCACACAATCAAGATT